GAACACTTAACAGCAGAGCCTTTCTGTAGGAAGGAGATTAAGTGGAACTTATTTTGACAAGAATGACTAAATGTGCTTCGGTTTGAAGAGTTTGGATGCAAATGCAGAAGCCGAGGGTCTAAATTTAACACTTCGGTGACTTTGGGTCTGTTTACAGTGACGTTTTAATTTGGTCTGTATAAAGAAATGTTATTCAGCTGGCTGAGTTTGGAAAGTTTCATGTGTGACCAGAGGTGGAAAGAGTACTGAAAATTTGTACTCAAGTACAAGTATGTTACACTGATTAAATTGTACTCAATTAAAAGTAAAAGTACTGGTGTTATAAAATACTTAAGTAAAAGTACAAAGTACTCTTCTCAAAAACTACTCAGGGTATTAATTACTTTTTAACCAATTTATGTTTTATTGTGTTGTCAATAGAAGGCGTTCAGTTTGATTTACTGTATATAACAGCTACATTCAAAGATCATTTCTCAGACACTCAGAAGCTCCGTCTTATTTTAGGACCAGACAAACAGTGACAATATCTAAGATCTTTGCATACTTAGCCAAGCTAATAACACACCCATACAAAAAATAAAACTCCAATACCATACAGGTAGTTGTAAAACCTTGTATACCACAATATGTTTTTTTGAGATTAGATGCTGAAGTCTTGTTGCTGCTATCACTGTAGAGATCAAACAAAGTTTGCATCTGGACTCAGTCTTGTTTTCGCCCTCTGTACATGAAACATTCCTCCAGGTACGACCACGTTTTCTCTGTTGACAGTGTTGTCCTCTGTCTCCATTTTGGCTTTTTCTCCAAATCTTCGGTCCATAAATGACTCTCTACTCCACAGAGTTGTCCTTTGCTTACGTCATAGGCCACAAAGATGCAGATGAACAGTTTGAATATTAATTCTAATTGTGGCCGTACTCAGTATCGACTTCTGATTTTAAAAGTAGCAAAGTAGATTACATGGTCTAAATTGTACTTAAGTATGAGTAAAATTACACAATTGAAAGAAATACTCATAAAAGTACAAGTACCCCAAAAAATCTACTTCATTTCAGTAATGTATTTGTAATTTGTTACTTCCACCCCTGTGTGTTACTGACAATTAAAGCTGTCAACTAGAGAGGCTGTTTTAACCTGGCAGCTCTAATGTTGCAGCCATGCTTACAATACCAACTAAAGACTGGCTTAGAAATCCATTTCCAGTATTCAATGACACATTTTTTTCAATATTTTGTAGAATTTTGTGACAATGTTATCATCATGATGAATTTGTATAGACTATTGTTGTTTAAAGGCATTGCAAAAGAAATTTTCATTCTTATTTTCTATAACTGTGTCAATTAGCTTCTTTTTTGTGCTGCTCTAAAATATCTAGCAATTACAGACAAAATATAAACATTTCACAGAATCTGCACAATTCTGATTAATTTTTGGGTGATTTCAATAATTTGCTTACCTTGTATTACCTACAGTATAACTGATGCTTGTGGCTTTTGAAAGCAGAGAAACCTGCCAGCTTCAGAGCCAGATGGTTGATTTTACCTATGCTAACCGACAGGCTGGTTGTAACAGAAAACAAAGCAATAAAGTAATTAAACTGTTAGTGGAAAAGTAAATGCTGTTCTCATCTCCTAATCCCAGAGTAAATATTGGCTCTGTTGTATTGTGCGTACAACTGGTCGGATCATGAGACATTTTTCAGGAGCCCCAGCCAACATGACAGCTGCAAACTCCCAGCATTAGTCAAGTAGTTTTATGAAATGTCAGTGCTGTTCCTGCAGAGTCACCATGTCTGTTTTTGCTGATTGTGGAAATATTTTAATCACTCATTTTCTATATCGTATTTGAAAATGTGATGTTTTTTTTTCTTAAAGTGCATACATCATAATGATCACATGACACAATCTTGTTGATAAGAACTCTATTTGGGTGGAGTGATTACACTTTGTAGTTCTGAAATCTGCCCACGTCTTAGATTACTTTCTTATCTGAGGGAAAGTACCACTTCCCAAATACAAAGTTTGACACAGCCACTGCAAACTAAATTCATGTTTTAGAAAAAAAAGTTGAGCCGTATTGTCAGATAGTTCTAGGCTCTCTAAATTAAAATTCCTTGCAAAAGTCTGAAGGGTGGGAACTTTATTCATATTTCAGGACTGAAAGAATTTGTCCCTAAAGCTTTAGCAGCAGCGAGCTTTCTGAAAGAGATTGCTTGGATGAAATGCTAATACTTGTGCGTGGTCACGCTGTCCTAAAAAGTGCAGGAGTGTCCTTTAGGCAACTTTAAGGTTTTTGGCAGCAAAAAAGACACAGTTTTACAACCATCATGTCAACTGAATGTGCAAGCAATTTTCTGTTAGACTTTGCAGTGATTTAATTAATACTCAGATTGTTCAGTTATTATCCCCACTTCCCTTGAACTGGTCTTAAATAAACGTTCAGAAACAACCATCGTAGGTTTCATTTATTTTTAAATTGAAAATGCTACAAGAACTGTGATATTTGGGGGTTTCATTATCTATAATTTAATGATTCAATTCAATTCAATTCATCCAAAAAAGTTATATCTGGTCCTCTGGACATTCAAAAAAAAACAAAACAAAGCAAAAAAATATAGAAACGTTTCGTCTCTCATCCAAGAGACTTCCTCAGTCTGAGGTGCTGTTTTCAGCTCAGTCTCTTAAATAGCACCTTCTCAGAGTGGATCAACCAGTTTGCTGCTGACAACCAAAACCAGCTGATCACATGCTCAAGAAAGACCATCAGCCTAACAATGGATCATTAGCACACTGATGGCTGTTTACTACTCACAGAGGGCTGAGTGATACTAGCAATCACAGCATTGTAAGAGGGGGACAGTTGAACCCGGAGGCCTCCACCCCTGTTTAATGATGGACGATTTCTTTTCACAAAGATGGCCTCCTTTACTCCTCTCTCAAACCATTGTTCCTCTCTGTCCAGGATGTGAACATCTTCATCCTTGAAAGAGTGACCGCTGGCCTGGAGATGAGTGTAGACCGCAGAATCCTGGCCTGATGATGTTGATCTTCTGTGCTGGGCCATCCTTTTGGCCAGTGGCTGTTTAGTTTTCTCGAAGTAAGACTGATCACAGCCCTCCTGACACTGAACAGCATACACAGTATTACTCTGTTTGTGCCGGGGGACTGGATCTTTGGGATGAACCAGTCTTTGCCGTAATGTATTTTGGGGTTTAAAAGCCACTGGGACGTTATGTTTAGAAAATAAACGTCTCAGTTTCTCTGATACTCCCTCAACATACGGAATGACCACTGGTCTGGGTCTGGGTTCCTCCTTTTCACCTGATGGCTGACTGGAGTCCTGTTTGGGTTTCTTCTCTGCTTTCAGGAAGGCCCAGTTAGGATATCCACATTGCTCTAGAGCCTGTTTTGTGTAGGATTTCTCCTTCTGCCTGGCTCCCGAGTTAGTGGGGATGCTGTCTGCTCTGTGATACAGAGTCCTAATGACTCCTAACTTGTGCTCCAAAGGGTGATGGGAGTCAAACTGCAAATACTGGTCTGTGTGGGTGGGTTTGCGGTACACCTCGGTTTTCAAATGTCCTCTATCAGAGACTGAGACCTCACAGTCCAAGAAAGCCAACTTGCCATTTTTTACATCTTCTCGTGTGAACTTGATGTATTTATCCACAGAGTTGATGTGGTCAGTAAAATGTTGGACTTCCTGAGATTTAATTTTAACCCAGGTGTCGTCAACATACCTGAACCAATGACTTGGTGGTGTCCCTGAAAAGGACGTCAAGGCTCTCTTTTCTACCTCCTCCATGTACAGGTTGGCAACAATAGGAGAAACTGGAGACCCCATAGCACACCCATGTTTCTGCCTATAATATTGCTCCCCATATGTGAAGTAGGTTGACTGCAGGCACAGTTTCAAGAGTTGACACAGTTGTTCTGTAGAAAGCGTGGTCCTGCTGCTCAGAGTGGTGTCTGATTTTAATCTTAAACTGACCACCTCTACTGCATCATCAACAGGAATGCACGTAAAGAGTGATGTGACATCAAAAGAGACCATTGTTTCATCAGTCTCCATGATGACATCCCTCACCTTATCCACAAAGCCCATGGTGTTCTGTATGTGGTGTTCTGAGCTGCCAACTAAAGGGATGAGTACAGACGCCAGATATTTGGAAACATTGTAAGTGACAGAGTTAATCATGCTAACAATAGGTCTTAAAGGTACACTTTGTTTGTGGATTTTAGGTAAACCATACAGACTAGGTGTGGCCTCCCCTGGGTACATGGAACGATGGTTTGAGAGAGGAGTAAAGGAGGCCATCTTTGTGAAAAGAAATCGTCCATCATTAAACAGGGGTGGAGGCCTCCGGGTTCAACTGTCCCCCTCTTACAATGCTGTGATTGCTAGTATCACTCAGCCCTCTGTGAACAGTAAACAGCCATCAGTGTGCTAATGATCCATTGTTAGGCTGATGGTCCTTCTTGAGCATGTGATCAGCTGGTTTTGGTTGTCAGCAGCAAACTGGTTGATCCACTCTGAGAAGGTGCTATTTAAGAGACTGAGCTGAAAACAGCACCTCAGACTGAGGAAATCTCTTGGATGAGAGATGAAACGTTTCTATATATATATATATATTTTTTTTTTTGAATGTCCAGAGGACCAGATTGAACTTTTTTGGATTTTTCTACCTGGATTATTGAACATGCATCAGGATATCAATTCAATTCAGTTTATTTATATAGCACCAAATCACAACAAAGTTGTCTCAGGGCACTTTACAGAAACATTCACATACATAAAAGCCAATTAGTAAAGTTCTCTATCTAAGGAATGATGTAAACTACATTCCTGTTTTAAAGCCAGGAGCAATTTGCTCAAGGATTAAAGAAAACATTATTTTCATGTCAGTCTTTTAAGTCCAGTGAGCTTTCTTTTTTTGTAGACAAGCTTTAGTTTCTTGCCCTGGAAGTGTTTATTTATCGTGTTTCTAACTTTTTTTGGTTCAGTTGCAGAGGAAAAGGCACATAGGCAACGATATTGTGGCCATCGTGTTTCAAGAAGAAAACACCCCCTTCGTACCAGACATGATCCAGTCCAACTTCCTGCATGCATATGTGGTGGTGCAGGTGGAGAATGCATGCACGGACAACGTTCTCTACAAGGTTGGTTTCACACACATATCTTTTTCTCTTAAAAACCTGGACCAGAACTTGTTGAAACCATTAAGTGAATTTGTCTCAAGAATAAAAAGTATAAAACCACTGTCCCTCCTCTGGATATGTCCAAACCATTTCAGTCTGGCCTCTCTAACTTTATCTCCCAGTTGTTCAACCTGTGCTGTACCTCTGATGATCTTATTCCTAATCTTATCAATCCTTGTCACTCCTAAGGAGAACGTCAGCATCTTAATTTCTGCTATTTCCATTTCTTTCTCCTGATTTTTCTCAATGCCACTGTCTCCAGACCATACAACTGATCTCAGTCCTGTCTTGTAAACTTTTACTTTGACCTTTGCTGATACTCTTTGCCAACAACTATTCAGAGTCAACTCTGTTTGTGTTTTAGCTAAATATCTCATGAACCACAGGGCAGCTTTTAATGAAAACTTCAGGACATATTCAAAAGACAGACTTTTATAACTGGGTAACTTTTGAAGCCATCCTAATTCAAAATTGCTGTGACAGCAAACTGACCTTAGAAAACACAAAATGTCTTTAATTCAGTCAATTTTAAAGTTAAAATTTGCACAGAGCTCAAATTTGATAGAATAGTGGCTGAGAGTCATTCACAACACATACATTAAGTGGGACATCTTGATGTGTTACTTTCAAGGCTTAGCAAGATGGTCTACAGTTTGTGTAAAATCCAGACATGAAATGTGGCGTGTGAAATGCATTATTTCAAGACATGAATCCATTTACTTTACTTTTTTATCTAGGTGTCTGTGACAGCAAGAGATGATGTACCTTTCTTTGGGCCTGCTCTTCCTGACCCAGCTATCTTCAAAAAGGTCAGCAACCATACAAACATAGTCCCTTTTTATAGACGACTCAATAAACTTTCACTCTGCTAATCTGTACTCGTCTTCCTCAGGGCCTCGAGTTCCACGAGTTCCTCTTCACCAAGCTGATAAATGCAGAATATGCGTGCTACAAGGCTGAAAAATTTGCCAAGCTGGAGGTGAGAAGCACATCGAGTGTTTACGTGCCTGTTTTTATGCTCAAGTGCACAACTGTTTGCACCCATCTACATCTCGCTGAGTGTACCTTTTATATAGATTTATTGTCACTGTGTCCTTCTCAGACAACAACCACAGAAAGGACAAAAAAAAATGTAGTGCAGCAGTTTATTATCCTGATGGAGTTTCTACCTGCCACCCGTGAGGCTTTATTTAAAAAGGAAGAATTCAACGAAATCAGCTTTTGCTATTTATTTCTTGCTTTTTTTTTTTGTTGTTGTCAGGAGCGCACGCGTTCAGCCCTGCTGGAGACTCTGTATGAGGAGCTGCACATCAACAGTCAGTCCATGATGGGCTTGGGTGGAGACGAAGATAAGCTGGAGAACGGGGGTGGAGGAGGAGGAGGTGGTGGCTTTTTTGAGTCCTTTAAGGTAGAGCATCACTTTTTTTAATTTAATGAGGCTCATTGGTGATCTGCTATTCCACGTGCATGAGCAAGAATGGAGATGAGTGGAGAAATATAACTTTTAGGATTTGTTTGTGTGTGCGTGTGTGTGTGTCCTCCCCCTGACTCTTGGCTGGGATTCTGGGTATTCACACATGAGAAAACAAAACATAGGCAATGTGCGGTATCTCAAAGGGCCAGTCCTCGTGGCTTTTGCTGTCCTCGTTTGGCTGTGACTGCTGAGCTCAGTGTGTCTTCACATAATGGTGTGATTTTGAGGCTGCAGAGTGCCCTGTTGTGTTTAAAAGGCACTCTGCTCCGACTGCACTCCGTCAGCGTCCACGCTGAAGTGAAGCTGACTGAGACAGGAACTGTGACGGTCTGTGCACGAGCACATGATTATGTTATAAAATGGGGGTGCAAAGATAGAGCATGTGTAACAGGTCAGTGTAATGGATATTACAATGTCTTCATCTTGGAGACCTGATGAAGATATCAAAACCATCTAAGAGGTGATTTTTCTTGTTGCTTGTATAGCTAAATGCTAAAATGAAAACATATTTTTAATAAAAACTCAACTTCAGGGCGTATTTAGTTCAGATTTGCCAATCAATCAATCACATGTAGTCTCATACACCTGCATAAATGAGCTCCAGCCCAGGTTAATTCAATATCAGAGCAACATCAAATTAATATCTACCACTTTTTATGAACTCATAAAGATCTTGCACTCTTAATTCATGTATCACTCAAAAATTTACTCTATTGTGTCTGATTTGCTGTGAAAAAATAGTGTAGCACCATTTTCATGGCTAAAATACAACCTTATCATTATTTTCATCCCCACAGCTGAATGCTGTCTGTCTGAAAGAGGTGAAGGGATTGATCCAAATATTAATTATTATCAATACTAATTATAGTATCAAGTTGATACTAATATGATGGAATTGATATGTTAGTTATAAGAAGGTAAACTCTAAAATATATATTTCCCACTATTATTTTTTTTTTTACAATGTCAGTAGTTACAGTAATGTTTCTTAATGTGCCTAAAATATTTGCTGAAATCTATTTTGGATTTTAATTTGCAAATAATTAGTTGATTACCAGGGGACAGTAATAACCAGTTGTTTGTTACTTGTGGTTTTATTTTCATGGTTTTGAAAAATCTACTTTTTCATCTCAAAATACCTTTTTTTTATCTACATATTTTACTCAACAAATATAAGCATAAATACATCAAAATTATCAGATTTATTGATCCCAAACAGCTCTTTCACAGACTTTGCTAAATACTGACATGTTTTTACTCACTTTGGCTGTTTCTATAGATAAAGAAAATGTACGTGGAAGTTGGCAGTTTACAAATTTTACTAACATTTTTTTAAAAATTAAGGACATATAAATTTGAAAAAAAAAAAGCATATTTTCTTTTAATAGGATTTTGTTTCTAATTGTTTGTTATAACGTTACAATGAGTACCTTTGAAGGTATCAGATCTGATCCATACAATTGATGATGGCCGTTGTATTTACTTGGTATTGGATAAATGCCAGATTTTACAGTTCTATTTCGTATAGTCTTCGCCCTTTAAGAGCTGTCACTTAGTGGGTTTATCCCGTCATGCAAAGCATTGCACTGAAAAATTTAGTCCACGCCCACCTGTTGTGTGGGCCCCACCCATTGTGTGGGCCCCACCCGGTCCATATACTGTAAATACATTAAGAGCGGGTAATCGGCTCCCATTTTTCTTCATCAAGCTAATAGCACTGTCAGAAGAACAAAGAAGGGAAATTGTCTAGCTTGACCAGCTCAGTTGGGGCTGCCTGTGGCCCCACCACGCCAACCTCCTGTCGTCCCGGTGTGCTTTCCTCCCCGAGGAGAAGCAGACGAGCAGTCTTGTTTCAAGGTAAGTGCCGAGGAATATTTCTCAGTGGCGGGTTGCTACACGCTGGATGACGCCATCTTGTAATTTTCCTTTTATCGACGACTCTCGGAGCGAATCGGATGGCTCCTCTGGGACAGGCGACGTCAGCAGCAGACCCCGCTGCTCACTCCCTCCTGGAGAGCGTAGTGTCGGAACGAGGGGGGCTGAACGAATGCTCATCCCTCCCCAGACCTTTTTTGCATCGGCGACCACACCGCTCTCAGCCGTTGGTGCCCTCCTCTGGAGCTGCCCGGCATAATCCAGGAGGCAGCTGACATGAAGGGACTTTTTCCGTCACTCTCCTTCCCCCGTCCAGATCGGATGATCTAGCGGGAAGATTTCTGGGCTCCACCCCGGCTCGCCGTCCTAATCCCATCTGGCCTTGTTTTCCCAGCAGTGACGTCCTACTGGAACGAGGCCGCAGCCGGTTCTGGTAGACTGAGGGCGCCGGTTCCCACATTCGCACCCATCACCAGAGTGGAGGGGTTTCACCGAGCGGAAATTCCCTCGGTGCCCCCCCCGGAGCCGAGCCTGGCAGAGGCTTTTGGAGCAAGATGTCCAGGTTGGCCCAGCATCCTGGGCCTCCGGGTAAGCATGACCAGATGGTGACGTCGCTTTCCAACCGAGCTCACCAGTGTGCGTTCCAGGCGGCCGCAGCAAACAATACGTTACGCTGCTGACGTACAGCGTTCAAGAGGCTGGAGGAGATGTAGCAAGGCAGCTGACGTCATCCTCAACCTGTGTGCCTCTTCTGCTGTCTGCCGTCTCGCATCACAGCCCAGAGGACGAGGTGTTCCAGATGTCCACCTGGCTCGTCACTCCCCCTCCCTCTCGGAGGAGCTGCAGAAGGCTTTTTGTTGGAGGGCCCCATCAGCGACGGACGCGCTGTTCAGGACCAATTTTAAGACAACAACAACACATTCCACGGCTGCAGCAGTGTCTCCCCGCGCCGCTACGCTGCCAGCCCCGCCCGTCAGACATCAGCCCTTCTCATCCTGGCAACCGGAGGTTCAGCGTTTCCCTGAGATCGCCAACAGGCGGTGCCCTGGGACAACAAACCACAGAGCTCACGGGGAAGAAGATTCAAAATTACGGTTTGCGGAGGATGTGTGTAAAGATGACACGAGTTTTGAAATAAAACATCATTCAATGATTAAAGGGTCTGATTTTAGCCAGTCTGTCAGCTCAGATGACCTCACAGCGGCTCCTCAGACATCCTCCACACAAAACGAGCCGGTGGCCTTAAAAAAAGTTTTTCAGAATCACCGCTGCTCCAAAATAAACACGAGACGCTCGCATGACACAACAGTCAAAAGCGAATATGGTCCACAGAACGAGTCCAGTGGAATAACTCATTTTCAGCTCCTGCGACGCCAGCAGCCTTCACTCAAACGGCGCTGCATTGATTAAGGTGCGCACACCACTCCCCAGCACTCGCATAAGCATAAATGTGAGACTGCAGAACGAGTCCAGTGAGACACCTCGCTCTCAGCAGGAGCGGCACGTGTCTCACCGCAGCGGTGTCAAACACATGCTCCCGTGGTGTCAGCAGCTTTCACCCAAACAGCGCCGCGTGGATGAGGGTGCACACGCGTCTCCTCAACCCACACCAGTCCACATCGACATGAATGTGAACCCTCAGCCTGAGCGTGGCACAGAGGCGCACTCAAAGCCCTTTCGAGGAAGCCTCGCCTTGGGTCACGCGGAACACACTTCTGTGACGCATGACGGCAGTCGAGGCTGTAGACTGGCTGACGTCCGTAAGAAACATGACGCACCACCTAAACACACGCCCACTCCACGAACGCCTCGCGGAGTGGCTGCGAACATGCTCGCCAGACAGATGAATGGCTAAGCTGATAAGGGGTTACACGCTGCAATTCGCAGCTCGACCCCCTCCGAACGGAGGGGGTCGAGCGTCCCTAAAACTCCAGGTTTTAGGGACGGTCCTGTCATCACCAGACCAGGTCTCATCCCTAAATGCAGAAGTCCAGGAACTTCTGGTAAAAGAGGTAATTTCCAGCATTCCCGATGGAGAGGAAAACACAGATTTTTATTCACGTTACTTCCTGGTTCCAAAACGGACTGGAGGAACAAGACTGATTTTGGACCTGTCAGTTTTCAACAAGGCGATCGTGGACAGACCGTTTCACATGTTGACAACCAGACAACTGTTGGACAACATCCAGAGAAACGACTGGTTTAGTTCCATCGATCTGAAAGACACCTACTACCCTCGTGCCTTGTACGTTCTCAAAGTGTGTGGAGACGACCCTGCAACCATTACACAGAGCAGGGATGAGAGTTTTGTTTTACCTAGACGACCTGTTGCTGCTGTCACGCTCCAGATGGGAAGCAGCGGCACAGACTCAGGTGTTGACGTCACACCTGCTAAATCTGGGCTTCGCCATATATTGGGGAAAAAAAGTTCGATTCCCCCGGCCCAGACGATTGTTTATCTGGGAGTGGAGCTAAACTCAACCGCCATGAGGGCTCGTTTATCACAGACGAGAATTGACACTCTAAGAGTCCGGCTCCGCCACATAAGACCTGGCAGAGTGGTAACAGCCATTTCTGTCATGAAGCTGTTAGGAACGATGTTGTCAGCTCATACAGTGGTCCCGCTGGGCTCCACTTGCAACACCTCCAGAGATGGGTTGCTCGTCTGCGTGTGGATCTGATAAAGCAAAAGAGACGGATGATCACTGTTCCTCCCTCCGTGAGAACAGACCTCCGACACTCGAAAAAAACCCTGGTTTTGTTGGAGGGAGTCCCCATCAGCAGACCTAAGTCACACGTGTCAGTCTTCACAGGCGTGTCGCTGTCAGGCTGGGGGTGGACATGCCTATCTCGAGCTGTAGGGGCGCTGTGGCCTCCTCACACAACAGCTCATATAAACATTCTGGAATGTCGCACGGTTCTGAATGTGATTCAACACTTTTTTCCTGTGCTGCAGAATCAACACGTTTTGATTCACACAGACAACAAGGTTACTGCTGCTTACATAAACCGGCAGGGGTGTGTGCGCTCAGTCCAAATGTTACACATTGCGAGAAAACTACTGTGTTGGGCACACCAAAATCTGCTCTCCATCAGAGCAGTGTACATCCCCGATGTTCTGAACAAAGGAGAAGATGTGATGTCCAGGGGCGGTCTGCGTCACGGGGACTGGACCCTGCACCCCGATCTGATGGCCCAGACGTGGCAGAAATTTGGCAAAGTGGCTGTGGACCTGTTTGCGACACGAGAAAACGTTCAGTGTCAACTATGGTTTTCACTGAGCCCGCAAGACGAACCACCGCTGGGGGTGGACGCATTTGCTCACATCCCATGGCCCAAAACGCTTCTTTACACGTTCCCCCCACCTTCTCTGATATTACGGTTTCTGAACCGAGTTCAGAAGGAGGGATTGACAGCTCTCCTGGTGGCTCCCGAGCGTGTGAACGCGCCATGGTTCTACGACGTCTGTTATTGGGGCGCCCGTGGAAACTGCCGTGGAGGGTGGATGCTCTCCTCCAGGCAGGAGGAGCGTTCAAGAGTTACCCAGAAATAGGCCAGTACCTGTGGGTCTGGCCGCTGAACGGATCCGCTTAGAGAGGATGGGTCTCCCACAAGATGTAGTGCGCAGAATCCAGGATTCATGTGCTGCATCTACCACAGCGCTGTACACATCAATGTGGACAGCTTTTCAGCGCTGGTGTACAGAGAAAGGTATAGAGACCACCCCATGTCCACTAGGTGGCGTGCTGTCCTTTCTACAGCAGCTGATGAACAGAAATCTGGTGTTCAACACGATTAAAACGTATGCTGCAGCCATCTCTTCCTGTCACGAAAGTTTCGGAGACAGAACAGCTTTTAATCATCCGCTGATTAAGCGTTTTTTTAAAGTTGTACAGAGATGCAGGCCTGTTTCATGCCCACTTGTTCCACAGTGGGATTTAACGCTGGTCCTGCGAGCCCTGATCAAAGTTCCATTTGAGCCACTGAATCAGGTTCCAATTAAATTCTTGTCTCTTAAAACAGCCCTGCTGCTGGCTTTAACATCTGCTAAGAGGGTGAGTGATTTATCTGCCCTCTCTGTTGCTCCGTCGTCTTAGAATTCAGGCTGACGGCAGCTCAGCTGATCTAAGACCGAATCCAGCCTTTATGTCTAAATACATCACGAGCTCTTTTAAATCAAGAGTGATATCATTGGAGGGGTTTTTCCCTTCCCCCCACAAATCAGAAGAAGAAATATCTTTCCATCTTCTCTGTCCTGTGCGGGCGTTGACGTGTTACATAGCGCGCACAGCCGCAATGCGTCAAACTCAACATTTGTTTGAGCATTATAGAGATGCATCTGCAGGTCGCCCGTTATCCACCCAGCGCCTGTCACACTGGCTGTGTGAGGCCATTTCTGAAGCCTACAGAGCATCAGATTTAGAGCCTCCTGTCAACCTCAGGGCGCACTGACCAGAGGTATCGCATCTTAGACTGCTTTGCATAATGGTATGACAATGCAGGATATTTGTACTGCGGCCACGTGGTCAACACCCTGCTCATTTATTCGCTTTTAACTACGTGATGTGATGGCTCGTTCCATGACACATTCTGTCCTTAGTGTTTTAACAGAATGAATATCGTTGTTTCCTGGAACCCCGTTTAAACTCACATCTGACTGCATGCATTTACAGTGTGAGATGTTGTTATCAGTCACAAGTTGTGACTGTTAATTTGGTTCTATTGTCACTAATCAGTTCATGACTTGTTACCAATCAGTTCATTTGATTAATAATCAGTTCACTTGTTATTATTAATCTTTTCATATTGATCAGCTGTGAATCTGTTGGTTCATAGCCCTTTTTTCAGCATCTTCCTTTCCTCGTTGAAAGTTTTCCGGGGCGTTAATGCACTCAGAACGCATAACTACACAGCATGCGTCTGTGCATGGTACGCATAATTACGCAACGCGTAATTACGCACATGGAAAGCTGAGTGACAAGACGTTTTTTGGGCAAGCTGCCGCTTCGTACGGTGTTCGAATGGACCCAGTGAGGCGAGTACCACATCTGCTTCTCCCTTAACCCACTAAGCGACAGCTCTTAAAGGGCCTAGCCTATAAGAAAAAGAACACTGGTTACGTACTGTAACCCCAGATTCTATGAATATAGGCGTAGCCCTTTAAGCGTCGGGCCTCACTGGCTCCTAAATGGCTGAAGAAAAAGCTATTTGGGAGCTGATTACCCGCTCTTTACGTAATTTATATGGACCGGGTGTGGCCCACACAACAGATGGGCGTGGACTAAATTTTTCACTGCGATGCTTTGCATGATGGGATAAACCCACTAAGCGACAGCTCTTAAAGGGCTATGCCTACACTCATAGAATCTGGGGTTACAGTACGTAACCAACGCTTTTCACTCTCTTATCTAGCTACCGAGCTTCCAGTGTCCTCAGAACTGACAGAAATTACTAAAAGGTCAGGTAGTAGTTAGAGTTTATATAAATTTCATTAGTTTATGACAAAAATTAATCTAGAATCAATAATTACTACCTGCTTTTGTTTTATAGCTGGGAGTGATGACATGTATTTAAGTTAAAGCAAATGACGGAGCAAATACGTAAGTTTGCTTCCCCACATAAGAAACGCTGGAGCACCTGCTCCACTAGGACCAGGCGCCTCTGGGTCCGTTTCAGATTAACGATTTAATGACCGGTCATTACGAAGCTCATGATGCAGTTTGTACAAGTCCCCATGGGCAACATTCCATCGCCGTTTTTCTCTTTTTTGTGTCTATCTCAGCTGTCTTTGTTGAATTTCTCTGCGACTATTATCACTGCCTTTTTTTTTTTTTAGCTTTTTCTTTCAAATACTTATAAAGATGCATTTTTTTTTTAAATACAGTATCTGCACAACGTGCATAAATGTGCCTTTCCCTGTCCTTTTTGCTGTCAAGAACCAACATCTTCTGTTCTCTTTCACACAAATGAAATCCATGAGAACAACAAAAAAGATTAAATCATATCATCTGGACCAATTTCTTTAAGTGAGAAACATTTTGTTCCCCATCCAGAGGACTTCCTCAGTCTGTGGCCTTCCAACCAGATCTGTCCCACAGGTAGCCTTCATTGCTTTGTTTCAAGCCAACCTCCTGTTAGAATCTGAAAAGTAGGCTTTTAACACATTATAACAGAGCACACTCATCCAAAACAATCATTCATCATGTACAACAACCAAACGTTTTAGGCCAGATAGCCAACTTGCTACTCACAAATCCATGTCCTGTGCACCTTTTTCAGTTTTCAGTTGTGCAGATTTCATTTTCGTGATGTCTCTTCTCATTTCAGTCTCTGTCTTGAACTTCTGTTTTCACAATGTGTCCCATGACAGTTTTGAACTTCAGACTCATTCATGGCAAATAATGACTTTTTTACCAAGAATTTGTGTCCTTATTGTTCACAACAGCTTATATACACAGCCAACTTTGTGGGAACCATCATGGATTTCTGCCTGTTGAGCTGTACTGCTGTACTGAAGCAGTCCTGCAGACACACAGTCATATAAGAACAAACCACTAGTCTATGCACACCCTCAAACATATACAGCAATATTATGTTAAACACTTCCTATAATCTTCAATTGAAAGATCTGGCAGGCTAGCTTCAGTTAAAACGTAAAATATTAACTTGAATTTTAAAAAAGTAATTTGCTCAAATCCATCCTAAAAAGAGATTTTCAATTTGGACACAGTTTGATATGATTTCCATTTATTTGCATTTATTTAATTCTTGAGATTATTGGTCAGTGTGTTGCGTTTCCACATAGCATCGATGTGGATCCACTGACCATCAATATCTCCTCGTTTCTCTCTGCAGCGGGTCATCCGCAGCAGAAGCCAGTCTATGGACGCCATGGGCCTCAGTAACAAGAAGTCACATACAGTCTCTACTAGTCACAGTGGCAGCTTTACCCACAATCCCGCAGAGAGCCCCAAAACCCCTGGGATTGTAAGTAGCTAATTTTTGGTTGTGTGTTGCCCATCTAACACATTTATTTAGGATTCATAGTGGATACATGTACATTCAGCTGTTCTTTCTAAAAGGTTGTACTGAAACAAACTAGATTTGCTTTTTTTCTGTGAAATGGAGTGTAAATGCTTTTTATGCTGAACAAGCTGAAAAAGCTGTTGGTAAAGCTAAAACAAGCTAAATACTAGCTAAAAGCTAAAAGGATCAATACATTATCTAAATGCTAAAAGTACCAAAAAGGTAGTTAAAATTTAAAAGTAGCAAATGATTTGGTAAAACGTAAAGGTACCTAAAGTCTAGATAAAAGTGAAAATTAACAAAAGGCCAACTAAAAACTAAAATATCCTGATGCATGCTCAATAATCCAGGTAGATAAATCTATAAAAGTTAAATCTGGTCCTCTGGACATAAAAAAAAAAACTAAAACTACTTTAGTAAACTGCTAGATAAAACTTAAAAGTAGCAAAAGCCAAAAGTAGCCAAATTATAGCTAAAGGCTAAAGTAGCATAAAAAGACAACTAAGAGCAAATTTGCTGCAGCAGATTTCAAAGTCAACTTTTTTTTTTAATTGAAGAAATTTCAATGGGTAATTTTGCAAATTAAATTAAACATTTTTTAAAAATAAAAAAGTGACAAAAGCAAAAAGCCTTATCTCCTGAATGAGCTCATAGTTTTGAATGAAGGGCTAAAATAGCACAAAGTTTGTAGAAGTAGTTAGAGTGCAAAAAAAAACTTACTGGAAAAAGAACATTAAAACAATAGTGCAAATACACAATCAGCATTCACTTAATAACTGCCTTTGACACCATGCAGTACTTTACTTTCTTTAGTATGTTAACCTTGAAGCTTTTTCTTTTATTCCTGGCTTTCTAACATGTCCTTTCTTTGTTCAGAATCAGATTTCACAAATCACCTTATCCATTTACTACTTATAGAGTTCATGTTAATGTCTTTTTTTTTGGTCTGTGAGGGAAAAAAAAACATATAGAAAAACTTTCTTAGTATTTCATTCATTTTCATCCATTGAGTGAATGATTGTTGCTGCATAGGAAGACAGACGTCTAGGATTTTGATTATATTTTAATCAATTTGGATATCAATCAAGTGACTCAGTTATCAGCACAAACTGATTGTTTTTTAATCCCAGTTTAGTTTCTACCCCAATCTTGAAGTGAGCTCTGTCCATGAGCTGTTTGATTACCCAGACTCCCTCCCTTGCTGCTTTGCTTTCTAATGATGGTTTCCCATTACAGATGTTTGGAACACCTGACGCTGATTTGTCCGTGTGTGGCTGGAAGTTTTGCATGGCACGAGTCATAGAGCGCACAGGCCCATTTGTGTGTCTTGGAATGACAGTTTTGTGTTTCTTTTTATTTCACCCTATTTACAAAAGATTTAGTACCTGTTTGGGTTGTGTCAACTCTTTTTGGCCTTTCTCCATCCTCTGAATGCATCAGTACACACACTTGTATCCCTCTGGGCACAAACTGCCAGCATGCCTGCTGTGGTGACACTCCTGCTCTGCCCTATGTTTGACCTCAACCTGCCATTTCCCATATAAAGCATTTCACTGTTTTCTCTATATCAGGGCTATTCAACTGGCGCCCCCCTGGCCAATTCCGGCCCGCAGGTGATTTAGGTCCAGCCCACACAGGAGTTCATTAATAAAAAGAAAAATACTATCAGAAAACATCCATGAGAGAGACTTTTAAACTACCGTATTCTTTGGACTATAAGGCTCTCCAAGGCACAATATCAATAAGCGGGTCTGCTTTCATACATAAGGCATACCGGATTATAAGGTGCATTATGCGAAACAAAACAGTCAGATAAGTCAAACTTTATTCAACTCATTCACAATAACCACATAAAATCAGTTCGAAGTCAGTAAGCACAACCAGAATTAATACACAAGGTGCACCTGATTATGAGGCTCACTGTCAATTTTTGAGAAAACTAAAGGATTTTAAGTGTGCCGTATAGTCCAAAAAATACGGTATTTGAAATAAATGTTTCAGTCGGCGAGACAATCCTGTTGTAAGCCCATGAATTGTAAACATTTTCACAATCAAACAGAAGAACACTTTAAAAAAAGATCCCTCCCCACTCAAAGCATTTTTTTACACAATACAATGCCAAGCCAGGCCAAGCCAGGCCAAGCCTCACCCTGAAACATCATTAAAGATTTTTGATGTTAACCCTCTTGGTATTTTCCCCCATACCAGGAATGACCTCAGACTCATGGTGTCAATTTACAGCCAATATCAGACTTCAACATAAATTACCAATGCAAATCTGAACCAGACATTTACAAGAACCCATTTCTACACTTCAAAGCATTGTAAACAGTCAGAAACATTGCACAGCCTCTGCAAGGCTACCCAGCATGCTTTGCAGCTCACACGGTCTCTCGGGACTCTCACAGAGAGAACGTTGTGAGTTTGGTGGAAAATAAAATAAAGTTAAACAGATGTGTTAATGTTTAATTATAAGAATTAAATTAGCAGAGACATGAGTCGAAGGGCTGTTCGCTCTCGTGGGGGCTCTTTCTCTCCCACTGTGTGGGGAGTTCTGATGACCTGATCAGTGCGTGATCGCCCACGAGCCGGATTAAAAAACAGCAAACAGATTTATTACTGGGGGAATATTGATGATGAGACACAGCAGCTTTGTAATCAGTTTAAGTAACGTTAACCACAGATAGGATTGATTAATTCATTAAAGTAAATGACACAAAGGAGACGTTTGACACACATCATGCTCGCTTTCAGCCCAGCTGAATTCTGCTCCGCCTCTTTTGGTTCTCCCAAAGCTCACACCTGAGCGGGACGTGAACACTTCACCTGTGATTTATGAAGTAACTGAGGAAGAATTGGTCTGCACAGCCATTTGATTGTAAATGAGAACTGGTTGTTAATGGACCTACATGAAACGGCAGCATGTTGGTCATTCAGGGAACATCAAAAATGGTCAACTTCTTTTTAAATTTGAAAAGCATAAAGATTTGGCAAGTCAGACATGGCAAATAATATTTGTGTAAAATAGGAGGCATAGTGTGCCATGTTTGTTTTTAATATTGTTTCACAATATCAATATTAATACTTTTATTGCAAGGAAATAAATCTTAAAATGCAGTTTCTTTGAATTGCATTTTTGGGTTCTGTTTATTGCATTTATGATTGAATGCAGCAAATAAAACACATTTAAAAGGTAACAGCTTATTGCAATACTTGGTTTATTTACATAATGATATTAATTGCTGGATATCCAGCCATGAGCTGTTGTTGGCTTCCAGTAACTGTGGCCCCCTGAGCAGTTTAGCTGAATAGCCCTGCTCCATGTCATGTCATCTCAACTCATGCTGCAAGCTCCTTTTTAAGCCATTTTGCTCTCTGCACTATAAATTCTCTGTGCATGAGATCTTACGAAGTGTTCTATTCTGTTCTGTTCCTTCCCCTTCTTGCCTTTTCAATCTTTTATCTCCCCTCTCTTTCTGCTTTCTGCCTTGTCTTGTGTGGCTCAGTCATTGCTTGTCCCAGGGAAAAGTCCCAGTAAATATGGACGCCGAGGCAGTGCCATAGGGATAGGAACA